CTATAGCCTGGGGTATATCCCCTACCATTAAAAAAATCTATTTTGAAAGTCTGAGAGGAGTATCATCGCCCGTTTAAAGTATCAAAATTTTTAAATAGATAGAGCCCATTGTGACTAATCATGATTAAACGACTTTAGACAAATTGCGTGGCCATGACTAGGCATTTAGAATCCGAGTTGATCCCAAATCATTAAAAGAACAATTATAGATATCGGGTTCCCACCTCCAACCTGTTCTCGGATAATGATCTCGTTCAAAACAAACACTTAGCAAGCATACTTAACACGATATCCTTCGATATATTCAAAGTATTTTTTTAAAACAGAGGACAGAAGGGACAGGGACACACTTTACAGAAGGTAAAATTGCCCCAGTCAGTATAACATCTATGTCGACCTATGTTGGCTTGGTGATTCGGAAATTCACAAACAAAAACTGCAATTAAAGTTGCATCTGTAGGCGCGCTCGTGAACCGGAACTGATTTAAATACTCCCACCACCGTAGATCCAGATTTTCCAGAAGTCCAACATGTTTGAATTTCAATTGTTAGAAACACTACTGATGGGGGTCGAAGCCATAACCTGTCGATTATTAGCAAGACTTCACGTGTTCAGTAGACCAATGAACCTGTCAAGTAAATATTACTTAAGAACTAAAATATATTTTGCTTTAGTCTAGGTTATCAATGACGATAACGAAGTTCTGAAAATGATATGGGCATTTCATACCTAAACTTTAAAAGATCAGATGTTTCCAATCCAAATTTTTTTTGGACATCGTTATCATTCTGTGATTGTTAACATCAGTTCGCTTATGTACCGGAACTTAGATATATACCGTTTAAATGCCACAGTTTTAAAGAAATTCCAGTAATAAGCTACGAGTAAATCAATTATTACCGAATATTCGCTTCTAAAAACTTTTAGTTAGAACAAAAAAGAGAGGAATTCAAAATATCCATTTACCGCCAAGATTGCTCATCTTCCTAACATTTTCGATTATGTCTTGTTACGGAACAAAAAGCAATTTACTGTTTCGTTAAAATATCATACAAGTTTTTGTGCCGACGAAACTATATTAATATTGGCTACGCGCTGAGATCCAAGCGTTAGTAGATTGTCACCAGTTTCTTTCTTTATTTATTACAGCCTTGTGCCATTGGTGACAATATTTAATAACTAATGAACTGAAATTCGATTCTCAGGTGTGTTATTTTCGCCAGCCGACCTGGTTCTTTGCCATATGAAGTACTTGCATTAAAATTATTTCCCATAGAAACGGTTCACACGCTGTTCTGTCCAGGACATGGTTTTAAAATATTTAAGGGATTTTTATTCATATTTTCTGGACAAGAACCGCAGCACACGCAACAGAACCTCCGAAAGATGAATAATCTGCTCATTTTTTTCCATTGTTGACGCAACCTGATGTTTTATCGCATTTCTCGATAACTAGCCCAACCAATACAAAAATATTTTTTCAATTCGAACTAGTCATTTCTGAGATTAACGCGTTCAAACAAACCCTTCAGCTTTGTACTTAATATTAATATCTTATATAGTTATCCTTCGTTGCGTCCGCGCATCATAAAGAAGGTATATAGGTAATATAGGTATTAATTGGGTATATTTTGTAAAATAGGCGGAAAAGTTATTAAGTATACATTTTGCGTTTCTCTTTCCTTGGATTTCTTAAGCAAAAGGTCAACACTTCTTAATACGATGTTAATTGACTCATTTCAATTTATTAGCCCTATCTGTGTTCATCTAGCTTCTGTCTGCCTTTAAAGCCTGTGTTTGAATCTCGGAACATAATATCTTAAAGTCAGCTCCACTACTTGCTAGTCACTATATCCTCCGAGAAAGAGGAACAAGATTTCTCACGCAGCTTGTCCATCCTCGTGTCTCATAAAAAAGTAACACAATGCCGCCAACATAATTGAAGATTTCGGTAAGCGATGACTGGTGACCGACAAGCGTCAGCCATACCGGGCCGGAGTGCGCGATTGATTCAAAGAATTTTCTATGGACGCATCAACATAATACGCCGATTACGAAGTCAACAAATTGTATGGAGCGCGTTTTTGTGTTTTCGACGTGCTAACAATGAGCGAAGGCGCGCAACTGATCATTACCATTATGCTTTATAAGGCTTTGTGTTTTGAGTAAATTATAACAGGTACGCTTTGTGTTTTATTTGATGCGGCCGTGTCGACGCGTCGGGAGCAACGGACAATGGCGCTTCGTTACCGACCGTGACCATTAAATCTGTCTTGTGAAACGGGGTGCATATGACTCTCTTACGCGCATTCATTTCACGTAATTAATCTTTTATCTAACCGCCTTCAATGCGAAAAAGTCAAACGCGTTAAGCAAAAAGGGTCTTGAGTACTTTTGGGTGGTAGAAATATAGAAATTCCGTCCGGGTCACAAACCACCGCCTACAGATGAAAAAGTCGTGAAGCTTAATCGCATTTCGGTTTCAGTCTGTGGATTTCCGAATATCCAAAGCCAAAATAAGTGGACAGCGCATCTTACTTATGAATCCCGGGAAAAGCAGTGAAAACAGGAATGTATTCGCCCCATGCCCCGGAGAGGGTAATTTTATAACTCCTACAACCGGAAAAGGGTGCTTAAATAGATTTGCACCTCATTCCTTATAATTATGGTCTACTATTTATGTACTTGAGGAAACTTTTTTCTCAAATAAATAATTAAGTTATTTCAGTGACGTCACTATTATATACCAAGTTTACGCAATTATACCTACATTAAAACGAAATCTGAATAAAGTACCGACGCTAAGTATTTGATGCAAAGATTGAAAGCTTTCTATTTTTATTTTGATAAATATTATATTTGATAGATTTAGTGAATCACTAGAGATATGTTTACATTCGATTATATCTCTAGTGAATGTCTAAATAACAAGTAATTAGAAACAACAAGCTGTTTATGGCAAGCCTTCGAATAGGTATACAAGCACAACACAGACAAATTAAATCCCAACTGTTCATTAAGCAATTACTTTGATTGTTCCGTATAATTGTCGTAGAAACAACAAGTTATAGTAATTTCTAAGCGGAATATATCTATTTTGTGTAAATACTACATAATCGGCGCGACACTTTGAGCAATGGTAAATGGTGTATTTTCGTTATTGTGTGAAATAATTGAAGCATCCAACAATAAACGTATTTCATATACCTTTAAAACCCTTCAAAAGAAGTTACCTGATGGTGAAAATGGCTCTTTTAGAACTAAGCTAAAACTAGCTAAAATTTGATTACCATAGAAACGGTTCTTGCAAGTTAATCTTAAAAAATAGACACGTACTGTTAATTTTTTACATATTTTTTTCGTATCTGGAAGCGTTTTCTATCTCAATGAAATGTTTCGTTTTCCTCATATTTTTCACTGTTTCTTCGCTACTATTAGTCGGAGCCTAATGTTTTATAGGCGCCTTTATCGATAAATACTCCAAAATGATGGAAAATAAGTTCTCAATTCGAACCAGTAGTTCCTGAGATTAGCGCGTTCAAGCAAACAAACGAATTAGTAAAGATTATATTAAAACATGCTCATCTTTCTTGATATTAAAAAAAAAATATATATATATCAATTATTTTTCTATGTGCAGGAAAATAAATAAATAGCCTTGCAATCCCTGTCAATCGTAACGAACATGCTTCACCAGGGTTCGAAGCTAAGCTGCTTAAGCTAATTAAAGTTAAGACGTGCTGTCTATATTTTGCTACAGATAGAAAATAAATCGCATATTCTACAAATTCACAGAAAGCAATAACATAATTACGTTCTACTCGGCTCTCCATACTCAGAATAACAACGTTAAAGTTGAACATCGAGTGAGCTACGCAAGTGCTCAGTAGCTTAACAACGAATTCTACGACAATTACAAACGGACAGCCTATGATTAAATTATGCCACTTATTCGAAGTGTTTCCTGAAAATTACATGGGATGGCTCTGCCAAGGCTGCGCTGACACGCGATCCGTTTGCACGCATTAAGACTGCGGTCTTCTATAAACGCTGTAAGTCGCGTACATCGCCGAAGGCGGAGACGCGTAAGGCATTTATTCCGCGTACCACGCGGGTGAGCTACCGTCCGGCTCCTCAAGCTACCACTCAAGTTGGTCCAAGCTGAGGTCGATGACCCCATTAGGGCACTCTTGGTCTAGCCGCAAACGACGCGTGCTCTAGAACGTCCGGTTAGTATAAGATGCCCCGGACGAATATACGAAATAATCCATCAGTTGAAACTAGGTACACTCCTTTGAGGTAACGCCTTTATAAAATACATTGATCAAATGTGAGTTTAATGACAATGTCTTTGTTTTTTTTTAAATAAATGAACCAAAATATTAAAGATTTTTTTTTGTGTGGAATTTATCTTTGTTGTTTTTCTCACTCAATGACTTTGCTGTTTTGTGTGGAAGTTTCAAGACGCAATTATCATTTTGCGCGATGTCTATAGTCATTTTTAAATACTGCATTGATTACTTTTATGAACGATACGCCATCTGAGCTTGTCTTTGGAATACATTTTCAGTAAAGAGGCATCATGACGCGGCTTAGCACGTAATGCTGTACGCGGCGCTCGTTTATTGGAGAGCACGACCTAAAGATATAATGGCGAACGATTCAAAACGCGACCAATGACGCATTGGTTTTAACGCGCTGTTGGCCGCTCATTTTCTGCTTATATTATAATTATCAGAACGCTTCTCGAGAAATAGACCAGAAAACTACAATTATGCAATAGTTTGCGAGTGTACCTTGAACCTCCAACCTGCAATATATTAAACATATTTAATAACGACAGTAATTTTAATATTTATCTATTAGGAAAATATCAGCAATATCCACATTGGTTACAATGACAATTAAAAATAACAACTAGCCCTGGTCACGGATAACTGAAGATTGTAGATGAACTCGAATGTCAAAGACAAAAAGTAATAATTGGTTTTGTTTACAGGTGTGTGTACAAACGCAACAGCCCCTAGCGTTTCTTCAATCAACCGAATATTACGAAACAGGGCTGCGGAACGGGCTGCAGCAGAATTCGCGAGAGCTGCTGGTTATGGACTGTACGCAGCCCCACCACCTTACGGTAGCTTTCCGTGGGGTGGTAGCGGGGGGGTGTGGCCACCGGGCAGTCTACCGCTTCCGCCAGGTGTCCCGGCTCCTGGAGTAGGCGTACCGCACCCAGACGCAATGAAGCAAGGCTTTCTTTCTTCATCAGGGAGAGGACTCATAGGTATGGATTTTATATATGTAGAGAGATGTACAGAGCTTGTATGAAGGATATATAGTTCAAATTTAAGGAATTACCTATATTTCTAATGTTTATCTTTTTTCTAGACGTAGACGGCGACGACTCTGGATCTCTAGACGGGGAGCAACCAAAATTTAGACGAAATAGAACTACATTCAGTCCAGATCAGTTGGAAGAGCTCGAGAAGGAATTTGAAAAGTCGCATTACCCTTGCGTATCGACGAGGGAGCGATTGGCTTCAAAGACTTCGCTATCTGAAGCCCGAGTACAGGTAATTATAAGCTTTTAATATTTTACAGAGTAAATGTCAGAGCCAAGTTAACAACTCCTTTGTAATTGTTTGCTTGACTAAGGGCTCTGTAATGTTATTGTTATCTAAGTGAGAAGTGAATACTAATCTCATTTGTTTACCGTTACTGACAGGTTTGGTTTTCCAACAGACGAGCCAAGTGGAGGCGCCACCAGCGCATGAACCTCCTCAAGCGCGGTGGCGGGTCCCCCTCGCACCGCCTCCCCCACTCACCTTCCCGATCCCGTTCGCGCTCTTTGTCCCCGACGCGTTTGTACCACGCTCCGCAAATGGGCGGAGAGAATAGCGCTTTCAAAGCGCTCGCCCATCAGGATACCAACGCCCTGAAGGCTCTATCACAACACGCTCAGTTCGAAACGAACGCGCTAAAAGCCCTCTCGCAACAGACGTTCGACGCAAGCGCTTTCAAGCCACACCCTGGTCTGGAGACCAGCGCATTCAAAGCTTTTGTACCAAATTCAGCGGCTGCAGCGTTACTTGCAGCGCAGTCTATCCAGCTAGCACGAGGCTACGAGTCGCATTCAGATTCTGACGAGGAAATTAATGTACACGAAAGCGAAGACGAGGGCGACAAACAAAAGAATAAAGCTAGATCCAGATCGACAAGCCCGTGTCGACAACGACCTACCAATGACGTACCCTTAGAGTTAACAAAACACGATCGTTGATAGTATTTCCTAATATTTATTATCATTACTCCAATCATTCATTTTCGAATGTCCGATGTTCCGATAGGATAATTACTATGCAAATTCATATAATTGAGTGTTAAAACTCTCGTTTGCTTGTAAATTTATGTAAATATGTAGATATTGTAGCTAATGATTGTGAAAGATCAAATAAATTTAGCTTGCACAAATTGTTTGCTTTATTTAAAGTAGTATATTTTATCACTGTTATAAATCGACAATATACTAAAAGCATGGGTTTCTTATCATTAAATTGCGCTGTTTGAATTACTTCTCATTTTAACGTTATAAAGCTCATACAAATAAAAATAATGTTTTCAAAAATAGTTCCTAGACTTTGGTTGTTCACCTAGGTTCTTATGTGTAATGTTTTTAGTTGTAATAGGTCATATTGTAATTGTTAAAGAGGATTGTACATTATTTATTGAATAGTAAATTTTATTTTAATGTAAATACGTATAGATATAATTAAATGGGTACCTATTAAAATAATTTGAATAAATCTTGGTTAAATTTTATCATCTTTTATTTTTCGAACCTAAATTATTTTTCTAGAAATCTAGACTTCTTCTATTAATGTTGTTCATATTAAGAATACACTATACTTTTTTATTTAAGCTCTGTTATATAAATGCTTCTATAGGCAAACGGTTAAAAGTGTGAGCGGACCTGGGTTTGAATCTCAGGGAGGCAACATATAGTTTCAGTCCGTTAAGGCACAGTCTGATTAACCTGCCTGTAAAAGAACCTATCAGTGAAACGGATCACAGAAATTTGTTCGCCTCGTGCCCCTCGGGCCTAATGAGATTTCACCTTTTTTGTATAAATGGCAAAGAGGTTATTTTTAATATTTGCCTGCTAACACCCTAAAGAGTAGTTGAATGAAACAATTAATAGAATTAGATATAAGCAAATTTAACAATAAAAAAGAACTATGAATGATATATAATAGGTCTACTGATGTTTGAGGCCTTTGTCGCAATTATTAAACATGGCAAGTATTTTTCTATTTCTCCTTATGTCCTCTGTTTGGCGCCAACTAATGGGATAATAATAGAATGATCATAAAACAGCACTATCAGTAGCATTTTCCAACGTCACGAAGGCATCACGGCTGTTGCAAAGCACCCATGACCTCAGGTCGTTTATTTTGAGTTTTAATCCGTTATAAGTGTCTTACTTAACATAAATTACATAACTCGTTGAAACCCAAGTGTATCTGCTAAACGATTACATGCGCATTGCAGTTGACGCGCTCCGGAAGACCTATATATGCTACATATATATAAAAAGCATATAAGTTATGTAATCGTACCATCATGCGAGTTGTATCCTAGGCCTATTAAATTGCATATGAATAAAAAAATAATAGTTTTCTATTTCAATAGAATATTTTATCGGTTCAAGGTACGTCGGACCGTAGTTAAAATAAGTTTAAATTTCGCTTTTAAAACAGTTACAGTAATCTATTGAAACCTTTACTCCTCGTATCAAATACAGACTGTATTTAACAATTTCAAATATTTTTTTTTAATGTAGGATTTAGTCTGGAAAATGAAATATTAAATGACTGGTGGGGATATCGAAATTTTGTCTGGGTCCACAGATGAAAAATGTCTCAAGTTTGCTCGTGTTTTGTCTGTGGATTTTCAAATATCCAAAGCCAAAAAGGTCGACAGTGCCTCTTGTTTAAATTTTATTTGACTGGGGTTATTACTTACACCAGTAAACCCTATTTGTATCCTAATTTTAGCACAGACTGCAACCGAAGCCCAATAAAACTTCACGGAATTCATTTGTTGGTCATTCGTATTACAAATTTTTATTACTTTAAGTAAGTATTTACTACTAAGTTATTAAGTGAAGAACATTGAAATATACATGTTTTTTAAGACAATTAAAAAGAATGAATAATATAAAAAAAAATCTCCAAACAATTTCTTCGATGCCAAATTTCCAGTATAAGTTGGGATGAGTCTTATAATATGTACAATTATATTTTATATAATGCCATCACGTGCAATAATGTGTAAAAAATATGACAGTTAGTTTAGGTACATTTCTTAATATGCACTTGCTTACGTTGAAAAAACGCCACCTCAAAGGAAGGATATACATTATTAATCCCGGCAATTACTGCCTTTCACTTTACATCCTTACAATACACGTCATAAATTCACAGGTTTAACAAACGAAACTTGTAGCGCAATTATCGTTTTTCATTGTTATTAAATTAGGCACCGATTTGTTTCATCCCGGATATCGACAATCAATACGGCGAAAGCTGAAATCGGAACAAAAACAAAATGGCGGTCACCTGTTGTTTGTATAGATTTCGTAAAGGTTTACAGCAGAATGTGTAATAAAATACATATTAAATCACTATGTTCAATTGTATTCTCGTTTATAAGGCAGACATATATCTGTGTCTGTTTATTAATAAATTAACTTATTGGCAAGTAGATGACAAGATTTCTTTTCACGGTCCTAAGGAAGTAAACTAACGTGTTTGCCAGATCGAATCCAGCAGTTCAATTTCAAGAGACGGCAATTTTTTTTTATATATGAGTACTCCATACATATAATTATGAAGTGCAAGTCGTATTCACATTCTAATAAAAATAAGTATCTACGCGTTATACATACTCACTGCTTACTTTTTTATGTAAAACGAGGGAGTAGTGTTATTGAAATACATTAAAGAAAAGATTATAGAGGGTTTATTTTAAGTTATTATGTAGCTGTTAGATGGATAGTATCATTAACAAATTGCCGATGGTGAAAAGTGTATGCAATCTTCTCAGGGGCGACACAGGCTTATTCTGTGTGTAACGCGATTACGGGTCGTAATTTAATAACATTGAGAGGTTAAAAATACAATATTTTAATAGATTATATCGATTGGTCGTAAATGAATAAAATTAAATTGTAGAACGTCGTCTAAGGATAACATAATGTAATCCAAATCAAAATAATTATGATTTCGTCTTTGAAATTATTATTTTTGTAATTACCTTTATTTTTTTAGGTATTTATGTTGCTTTAATAATACCATAAATATTTGTGAAATTTTTTGTCACAATAAATCATTTTTAACGATTAAAAATATTTCATATTTTTTTACTAGGGTCTAAAATTCCTAAAGCACCCGAAACTTTATATTGCATTATATACAGTACTACAGAATAAATTAACGAATATATATCCTGTTTTAAACCATTAACAGTGTTTAGTTTAATATACAATCGTATTTATTTAATATAGCTTTCGACACAAGCATTTTAACATAATACTCGTAGAAACTTTTAACACTGATAGAACATAAATCGAAATATCAGTCAGCAGTCGGCTAAATGTCACATAAAAGTCGAGAACACGAGGGCACCGGACAGAATAGTGCTGCGCCGAGATAAAGTTGTACCGTCGTGATATGGGCGAAGTGTGGATGCATGTACGCGCGCCGATCCAATAACAATAAATTTTGTCCGTCGTTTGAAGCGCCGAGACAACCCTGCGAACGCCCATGTCCACTCGATCTTAACATACAAATTGTAATACTGCGAGAGATAGGGGGACGTCTACGTTAATCGTTTGACTCTCTATTTTAAACTTCTTTCTACAAACCTGGTACTTCGTAAACTGTGAACTGTGGAGACAAATGGCGTGTTTGTTTATTATTAAGTAATAAATAAATGGCTTTTAATAATATGTGTTACAAGGAATATTAATTGTACATTCTGTAGCTTACCCGAGTAGTATACATTTAAATAAAACACTTTAACGGTTTAAAACACGATATAAATTAGTTATTTGAAAATTGTGGCCCGATGTTTCGGATGAAAAAGTGTTTTATTAAAAAAGTTATAGTTTTTTATTTAAAATTAATATTTATCACAACATAAAACAAATAAGAGTTTGTTTGAACGCGGTATTTTGAGGAACTACTGTTCCGAATTGAAAAATACATAGTTTGTGTTGGTTGGAGCATTTACCGAGAAAGATTATAGGCTATAGACGCGGACGAAGTCGTTGACGCAGCTAGTATTTCATATGGTAAAAGCTATAATTAGTAGAAATAAAGATCGTCATATTTCTTAAAAGTTTTCATTCAACTCGTCACAAAAGTATTAACGTCTTCACACTTGTGTATTTCTTAATAAAACGAAAACAACATGATGTCACAGGGGCTAATAAAATTCCTATATTATTCGCATGCAAATTACTTAAGCAATCATAACATGAGCACTTTGATATAAGCATCTTCGGACAACCTACTAAAAACGGTCAATGTTGTGATTTTTAATATTTTCAACTTTATTACTTTTTTATTTGGCACAGGATATTGCTTTGTTTGATTACAGATTTAGAGGGTTCCGTACTTACTAAAACTGCGGTACTATCGTCCCATAAGTCACCAGAAGAAGAAGAATCTCATTAACATTACTTAATTAGTTGAATCTCTACAGTCTGTTTAACTTTAGCTTGTGTTACAACGACTGACACTGTTTCTTTAATTTGCGTCTATGCATTAAAGATATACTCTGCATGCATGTGCAACATCTAAATAACTATGTAGTTAAGTACTGTCTGCACACAAGAAGTACACATTTGAATAAAACACTTTTAAAGGATTCAAACGGCAAAAGTATTCAGTTACTAAATTTCAATATAAGTGCACTGTGAACACGGTTACTGCAAAGCATCCGAAATGTTAGGCTGTGGCTAAAATATCTTAAAATGAAGTTGAGTAATACATTTCGCGTACTAAACCGTTAAAAACGTTTCATTTGAACTATGTTCTTGAAGAAAATCGAAAAATCGGTTACGGTTTTACGGTTTATCGGTTTTTCAATAGCATAATATGTTACCTTATATACTCTGTAGTACAGTGCGATCTAAAGCAAAATGATTGGAGAAATAGTTTCTGAGGTGCGTTTTATCTGCTGCGTATGTTGGCAACAAGGAAGTCAACTGGTCACGACTCTTCTGCGAAATGAAAGCGAGGCTCAAGCGCTATTCAATAAGGTATCCTCTTTCAAGTAAAATACGCCCTTGTTCTAACAGTTAATATTTTGTTTTGCTTTGTTCCTCATAATTGTTAATGTTTGAATGATTTTGGAGTTATTTTCTTATTACTTTAATAAGCTTTCACAGTGACTTTGACAGCGTGGAAAAGTGAATTTCCGTTCACTTTATAAATTAAAAAATTGGATCTAGACTACTTTTTAGCAACATTTTTACACATAACGTTACATTTATCCTATGGCGAAAACAACACACTATAATTGCTGTTATTATTTCACTGGCATATGATTTCAATAAAACTAAGCAGCAAAACGAAGCAAAGTAAAGCTGAATGTCTCGTGTAAACTTATGAAAAGTTTAATGTCCATGTGGAGAAATGGAGAGCATTATATTTAAAATATCTTTTTTGTCACACTATTTCACACCCACTCAGTTAGTACTTTTTTAAATTACAATGAATTTTGTCTCACTATAATATAGATGCGAGTATTAGAAGCGAGTTACTACTGTTGTTATTTAGGTTAGAGTCCATATTAATTATGATTATAGCCTGGTTTAACTTAAAGAATTGCCATGAAATTTGATCTCACGATAAATCGTTATTACAATGTTTAAAAACTGCCCTTAGTCAAGCTCGCGAGTTCGCAATAAAATATTTATGAAGCTATAAATGATGCATTTACATAGAAAAAGTGCATAATGCGTTTTTTTCCTTCGCTTCTCGTGATAATTCGACAATTTATGTCCTCACCGTAAAAGTGAGACACCGATAATATCGTAGGTAGTTCCATAAAACCATGAGCAGATCCGAAATGTAAGCACATTAAGTTATCGTTTAAATTATCTCCATCTGTGTTACAATATTTATTTGTATCTTCGTCCGGGACGGCTCCGTGATTGTGGGCAGAGTGTTCTCTCCCAATTAGGTGGTTATTGACGTTTTACGTTTATCAGGTAAATCTCGAAACGATGGCCCTTATTCGTAGTATCTTTAAATTACTCAGATAAAACCGTGAACTCGCATTTGTATGGCATTAATTAGGGCGAAACGTTTATTTTGAGAATTATTTACTTTAATTACCCACACACTTGTAAAATATTGTTATTAAACCTCAATAACAATTATTTATATCGTTTTTTAAGCTCAAGTTAGGACTCAAGCGCATTTTAATATTGCCTAATCGCGTTCCAATTTTAAATGTTTGAGTGAATAAAAGTATATGAAAAATAAGATTTGCGTTATAATTAGTAATTAGGAGATTACAAGTTGCTAAAACTTCTAGTCTTATTTTTTTACCGACATCAAAAGTAGGTTCTATAAGCTTTTGTTAGAATAATCTTATTAAGTACCTGCGACGTAAATTTTTTTTATCCTTTTAGTTTAGGTACTATTTGGAGATTTCTTTGTAAGTAAAATATTTTATTATATAGTAAGGTAGGTAGGTAAGGTTTTTAATTAAAATAACTACCTATACCTAATGTTCTGCTTTTATTGAAACAAGCTTAAAACTAAGGAAACACAACAAAATGTAAAGTCGATAAGAGCCACATTACCATTTAATTCCAGACGCAACTATGTGTCTGTCTGGGACGTAAATTAATATCTTAACTACTACGCATATGTTAAGCCAGAGGTCAGACTCAACGTTTTATCCCTAAAAGGGAAGCTGTTAATAGAGCCATTCAACGCCACAGGCCGAATTATCTACAAAGAGAGAAGTCGCTTCGGTATCGGTCGGAAATATAAATTTATTTGGTGGTTGTCGAGGCGACACGGGCGCCCGCGTCTATCGCGCCGCGTAATCTTGAACATTGGCGTTAAAGAATTTAAATTATACGCCGATACAAATGAACAGGCGACCTCGTCTTATTTATTGCCTTAATCCAAATGATATTGACTAGGTTTTTGGATTTCGAGAAATTGTCACGTTATTTGTACTATTATGCCGATATCGATAACCTCTATTTATATCATCATTTTGTTATTTACGATGTTCGGAACGTTGAACGAATGAAAGCCACTTATATTTGATGTCTTGTAATGGAATGACTTGCTAAGCCTACTTTTTATGAGTTGATAACTTTTATGTAAAAATAAGCCCAGGAATGTTTGTAACGTATCAAAAAATACAAATAATTAAAGAACATTATTTGCAACGTGTATTTAAACAATAATGTAGATAATACTAAACACAACAAAGACATTAAATTTACACAGCTAATTGAACGCGGAGCTTTCGCTTTTCGTCTAGAATTTGTTTGAGTTTATCAATTTCTTTAGAGGTTATCGTGTTTTCGTTCACAGTGGTAGCCTTTTTTTCTTTTCGCAACATTTCACGTTCATTCATGTAGCTCCTAATTGATTCTTTTGTTTCTTTCAATGTGTTTTTTGCTGCCGCATTTTCATCTTTTATTAACTTCTTTTTTCTTTCTAGTTCTTCGTGAAAACATATTTTCATATCACTTAATCTTTCTTGCAGTTCAGCCATTGACATTTCACAAAGTAATCCTAATCCTGATGTTTCCGTCAAATCTATAACTTTGGGGACCTTCGCTTTTTTCGCAATTTCTGCCAATATTTTGATCTCTTTTATAATATGTATACGTTTCTCTAACTCTTCTTGCTTGGCTTTCATTGCTTTGGCAAGTATTTCCTCTTTCTCTTTTTTCAATTTCTCCACTGTTTCTTTCTTTCTAGTCGTGACGTTATTTTTTGCCTCCAATATGTTCAATTCCAAAAGGGAACATTTTTCAACATGTCTTTTGTTTTTGTCAATTTCAAGTCTTCTCCATTTTTCAATTTCCTCATCCCAACGTTGTTTTTCTTTCAAGAAATCTTCATATTTTTTTCTATTTTCATCTCTATGCTTTTGTTTAGCAAGCAAAGCTTCCTCGTGAGAAATTTGACCCATAAGATGTTTTCTTTCAATGCTTAGAAGCCTATCTCTTTCTTTTTCTTGGCGATCGTAGTATTGCAACTGTTCAATTTTATTAACATCTCTAAAATTAGTAATTAGGTCTTCCAGCCATTTTACTTCCTCACTCTGTGATTGCTGCATTCGTTTGTTAATTCTTTTTACAGTAGCAGTTGTTTCTTTTATAATCGGTGCGGTATTTTGCAAGGGGTATACTTTTTTATTTGAGTCAGGTGATGTTCTGTTATATTCACGTTCTATTTCATTTTTTATGTCGGATATTTTCTTGTAATATCTTTCAGACCGTCCTTTGGCAAAATTATAATTATTTGTTTTAACAGTATGCAGCAACTGTGTAGCTTTTTGTTTATTTTTATCATGTAATATTTGCAACTTTTTATCGATAATACTTTTTGGAAGCATTTTATTTCCCTTCTTTCTCAGGGAATTTGGCGGAGTCTCGGGAATAGGACTTGGAGTGGGTGGAAAAGCATTCTGATGACCCTTTCTCCTTAATATCATTGGTTGTATGGGTATTGTTAGGGGTCTCGCTTTGCGTCGTTCAATTTTTTTCAAATGTTCAGCATAGTTATGCGCCATTTCACTTATGTACGGTTGCCAATTGAATAAAGGGCTAATAATTTTGTCAGTAATGAAACTGGTATCATAAGTACTTTGGGCTACCTGTGACACATATGTTAATACCTCATTGTTGCTGAGAAAATTTGTAAATGTACTTAGTAACGGTTTACTTAAATTGAATAGACACTTGTATAAATATGACATATCGGTTGGCGTAATTTGAAATGTTATTGCATGAAATATTATAATGAAATAGTCTTGATCTTCTTCAGATAACTCTTCAGACATATAAGACGCAATTTCCTTAAGAAATTCGCCGTGCTTCTGTATACCCAAAAATGCTTCTGCGATCCAAGACAACTTGGCGTCTTCTATATTTTCCGGGCATTTCTCTATGTACGTCTTCATATATTCGTAGGGAGACACTTCTGTACTTGCTCCATAGTCGATTATCATATTCCTCAACATCTTCACATTACTTGATGTGTAATAATAAACCATAATAAAATGATTTATTGGGTAATAAATTTACAAATAAAACAACACAAAATTGTATTGAATAAACAATAAATAAGACATAATTGAGATCATGAAAACCACAGAGCTTGAAAGTAAGTACAAAGCCTAAGTCACATTTTTAATTTTGTCAAATATTGACAGTTATTTTACGTAAACGTTTATTTATTAGCTGCCAGTGTTTTTAGACAATATGCGACTTTTGCGAGAATTGCATGTTTGCGTGAATATTTATTAACAGAGATTTAGGTATTATATCTGCATGGCATGTATTCTTTGTTTAAAAAACAATATCCAAAATAAATATTCACAGGAACATTTTGAATAATGTTTTTTACCTACGAGGTCCTACCTTAGAGGTCCTCTTGTAATATGACATCACTGATCAACTATATCAACAGCCGCTTTCCGTGGTCAAAACAATACGACCTGAGTCTCCCCGTGACCACGGCTGCTGCAAAACATGTGAAACGCCCGATGTTAAAATATTTTTTACTAGTTTAACTATATATTTCGGGTTTTATACCGTTAAAGTGTATTTGAATTTTTACTTCTCGCGTAAACTACAGACACGATTTATGTTAGTTAACTTATTTTTAACTACAGATAACCTTCAATATAAATAAATTTGAAGGGAAATATAAAGATTTCTTTCGTCATTTTACGAGTAACTCAGCTAACTCCTGTATGGGTAAAACTCGTCTTTATTATTATTCTATATTATAAAAATTAATCGCTATATGTTAAACCCAGGTAATTCTTTTTCAAGAAAATAAAAAAATACTTTCTAAAAACAATACTTCTTTACAAACGATTCATAATAACTGTGCAACGATAAACCAATGAAGTATTATAGAAATATTAAAGATTATTTATATAGAAAGTAAACAATAAAATAATAGAAAATATGAAATGAGAAAAAAATTGTTTAAATAAAACACTTTAACGTTTTAAAACGCTGTAAATTATTTTTGCGTACTAGAAAAATATTTTAACTGCGGCCCGACGTTTCGCCGTTTCAAATATATATCGCGATTTAAACCGTTAAAGTGTTTTATTTAAACCTGTACTTTTCGCGTAAAGTACAGACAGTATTTAGTAAATCTCCTGTTAGACGGTACAAAGGCACCGAAAATTATATGTACGTTGGTATATTCATATATAATATAGGTGATATAACACAAAGGCATTATAATACCAATCGCTATTCTTCTTCTGCTTCTTCCAAACATTTATTGGACGTGAGAAAGGTTCACCTTAATTAAGGGCGATAATTTGACGTGCACTGACAGCTAATATTGTATTGAAATTGATTTGTGTTCAAAGTTGAATTAATTTTGACAGAATCAATAAGCCACTGCTTTCTCGTGTTATTTCGACGCACTGTTATAATTTCTTTTGAATACTTCTTGATTAACATACAGATTTTAATTATAGAATTTATATTATCTATATTTTCAAATGCTTGATACGACAATAAGTTTAAGACGCATTTAACTGTAAGATATATTTTAATAGTATCTAAAATGTATATTTATTAAATGCACGAGAGATGCATGTATCAATAGGTTGAAAAGAATCGACGATTAGAGCAAGAGCACGGATCCACGCTGTAGATTCAGGTGTGGTTCAAGTTCTGCTGGAGTCTTAAGTAAAAACCAATGTATATTTATTTACATTAAGCTCTCAAAATGATTTTTGATTGAGAAGTATCTGTAGTTGACGATAGGATGTTCCTACACATAAAAAAAATGCAGTTTAACGGTTTAAAACGATATAAGTATGCGTGAAAGCGTGTTTTTTTTTGTTTTGACCTGGTATAAAACAGCGATCTGCTTAAGATATAGAATGGGCATCTTATATCTCCAGCTAAATGTTTTTCGTACCTTACCCAGATGGAAAGGCACTCGAAAGACAATGAACAAAAAAAGGAATACAGTGTGTAATACGCAAGAATAAAATCCCCACGTACTTAGTTACCGACAAAACGAAGCGAGAGTAATTATAAAGAGAATGAAAACGCAAAGATCGGACATGACATGTAAGTTACCGACTGACAATAGCGTGAAGATAACAAGACAGGAACCTGTTTAAAATTCCTCTAATCGAATACGGTCTTTATGGTTGTCTTTAACACGATTATTATATTTTAAGAGGCCTTGTGTGACTTGCATTTTATAATCGACAAGCTGCGCGCGCGACTTTGTCTACGTGAAAAAGTAATTTTGGGCGTCAAAATTCAAACCATAAGTTCCCGCAATTTGTGCGTTCACGCGAACTCTTCATCTTTATTATATTAGTATGGACTAGACTGCGGTGTTAACCGCTTAAATCGAATCAAACATTTTTACACTCAACAAATATGAAATACATATAAATATTAATATAATAACAAATAAATATATAGATACAACTGACCAAAATAGTCCCTAATTTTATTATTTTAGGAGTAGCATTTAAGAAAATTCTTTCTTATGTCACACTCTCAAATATAAGCGGTATAGATTGTGTGATCATCAGTCAATCAGGACAAAGCATTTTATATGTATAGAATAGAATCAACTTGAGGTGTCTAACTGTCGATGCTTTACGCCGGTCTGATTGATTAATGACGGACTGGGCGAAAACAGAGCGGCTACCTAATTAAACACTACCACTGACTCATAGAAACTTCATTATTAACATCGACTGCTGCTAAGTATTAGATTCTGGTCCTTGCTCAAAGCATTGTTGAGGAGTTTTAATAATCCTCGTACATGCACTATCCGTCTATCACTAATAGATTGTTACAAATATGAAAAACGTGCTTTGAAATGTAATAATTATATTGACAACATTCTCTGATATCGAACTTACCTACTGTACTGGTCAAGTAGCGGATGGCAATAGAAATCATGTAATTTTAAATATAATAAAAAATTCGTAAATAAATTGAAAAACTTTTCGACTCGGGCAGGACTTGAACCGGCATCGTCAGCGTTCCGTGCTGACGATGGCCGAGGAGTAGGACTGGGTAGCTAAATTGGTAGAGCAACAGCACGGAACGCTGAAGATGCCGGTTCAAGTCCTGCCCAGTTGAAAAAAATTTTTTTTTATTTATTTTCGATTTTTAAATTACAATTTTACCTTTGTTTTTTTTTATTATTTTCGAAATGGAACGAAATTCCACTCCGCTAACTGCGACCAAAGAGGTAACTTATTTAGTTAGTTAATTAGTTTAGTTGGTGAAAAAGCACTTTAGTTATTATATTAGTTATTCGTTCTCGTCGTTATTGGTTAAAGTTCTGAATTGTACTACTTAGTTTAATTTCGCATTATTTGAGAAAATTACTATACAAGACTTGACTGCAAGTAGACATCCATCCATTCGTCCATTTTCTTGGTCCATTTTCTTGCAGTAATTTATATTTTAATACGTTATTGCATATGAGGACATTTTAAACATCTCATCATATTTTTAACAAATCTATTATGTTTTTGAAGTGTAGGACAAGGTAGCTCAATCGATTACTGGCAGCACGGAACGCTGTGGATACCGATTCAGGCCCGGCCCATATATATGTATAGTTTAATCTAAATAGGATTTTCATTTATTTACATGCTAGCCGAACGCAACTGTATTTCTCAGAATAAGAACCTAGGATCTAATACAATTAACGCAATGATTAATATTATGCTGTACACCTGACGCACGGACGCAGTTAAATTACCAAACTACAGTAAGTTGACCTTTTCTGGGTCGATGACCTACAACAATAGGTAATCGACGGATTCGCCTAAACTTTTTGTCGCATTTCGCTATCAATGCAAAAAAAGTTGTTTTTTATTTTCATAATTTCATTGCGTTCATGTTGGAATGTTCTTTCTGTTTGGGATCTAATAACGTTAATATCCTATTATAGCTTTGGCAAAACATTTTAGTAGCTTTTTTTATTTGTGCTGGAAGAATTAATAGAAAGATCACGCATGGTATTATTTAATATTGTAGTTTATACTTGAGGAGGACAAACAATATTGGGCGTGGGATTAACTTGATAGATCGTGAAAAATCCCAGCCATATAACATTTAAACAAGATGTTGTGACCTATTTTAGCTTTGGATATTTGGAAAATCCATAGACTACATCTGAAGCGTAATAAGGTTTACGTCTTTTCAATCTGTGGACGGTAGGTCGTGATCCGGTCGGAATGTCGATATTCCTATCGTCCACTATTATTAGTGATCGAACGATACGATGTCCAACATGTATCAGAAATATTATAAATTATTAAGAAGCATGTTGAATTTGGTAGGAATCGACGGAACGACGCGTTGATTGTTAGCCACACATTGCTACCTTTAGGCTTAAGTACCCGGCAGTTCTTTAATTGAATACTTCAAATCAATTAATGAGATCGCACAGTCTATTACCTCTCAGGCCGGTACCGATGGAGGGAATTAACGAAAGCGAATTAACAAGGGCCACCTAAGGAGACGCTCCATCAATCTCCGTGGCCAGTTACAATGGAACTCAGCTGAGAATTATGGCTCTTTACGTATGCTCGCTACTATGTAGAAGAATTATTACTTCAATTTAATGACCGCGTCGTGATTAGACGCTGCCTTTTCATGGCTTTATTACATAAATCTTCGGCTAAGTACTCAATAACAAAAATATCGCGATTTACAACTTCATATAACTCTTTTTTTATCTGCATAAGCTATAAGAACGCTAGTAACATACCAGTACAAACACTTACTAATAAGAGATCTTTAGTATAGCTTCTTTGGTTTTTGAGCTTTTGGCTTAGAGCACGGGATACCGTGGATGCCATCTAATCCAATACAGATTTTAAACTATATATACTATATCACGTGCAATTTCCGATTTTGTGGCTAAATGGTTAAACGTATTGCCTAGAAAAGATATAGCATGAGCGGTTCCGGGAAACAATAGAATGTTTCAGGCAGG